CCATATGTGACAATGGATAAAACAGTAATTTCAATAAGCTATCAACAAAATCATTATAGTATGAAAGATGTAGATTATTATTTATAGGAATTAATAAAACATTTCCATCAATACCATATTTTTATACCAATAGTATCAATATTACAATACAGTACAAAAAATTCAACCTCAAAGCACCTTTATTGACAGCCAGCAGATGGAAAATACCATCATGTTAGTTCAACCTCACTCAAAATTTGTGCAATTCTTTATTAAAAGAATAACAGTAAATGCACAAAACCAGAATTATAATCTGTATTTTCAGATGTGACATATCAGTATTAAGGCAATACCAAGTTTGAATAAAATCTGCACAGGCATGTCAGAGAAATGATTGATAGCATTGTAAGAAAGACAAAAAATTGCTACTAGTTAGTCGAAAATAAGTTAAATAAAAGACAGTGTATATATAGGTGTATATGATGACATCTCATCCCGGTCAAAGAATGTGTGAGAAATGATCTTGAATAGACAGATAGAAAAAAAGGAGACATAAGTCTCAATTTAAGAAAATATATACTCAAAATAATACTTACAATCTTTCAATTTCAACTTTCATTTTCAGATTCTCTATTTGGTTTTCCTTAAATAAAGCACATACATGGTTTATCCGTTGAAAGATTTCATAGATGTCTGATGAGTTTAGGTGAGGGTAAAAGTCTATAGTAAAAGCTGCAGTCTCTATTAAAATGGTACAATGCAACAGAGGTGATGGGGCTTCTTTTAGAGCATCTACACATATGAGAAATTGTGAATTTTTGGTTCTCAATTGTTCAAAAAGAACGGTGCAGCTTGTATAAGAGATGTGGCTTTTTAAATTTGACGATACTGACCATACCTTAGTTAGTGTCTTCTGCATAGCTTTACCAATTTCGAATACAAAGGGTGTTATGAAGTCTAATAATGCTGTTAATGTTTTCTCAGCTCTGTCAAAACTGTCGTCTTCTAGCATCAGTAGTTTTTTTTCTCTCTCATTCATATTCGTTGTGTCAGGAAGCTGTATAGTTTGTAGGTGTGCATGAAATGTGCACAGAACCAGATTCATGGAAAGACTACGATGACTTGGAAGCCTTTTAAGAGCTGAAAAAAACATAGTGTAAAAACTTATTAACTTTCCCTTTTTCATAGCTACAATGTACAGTTTGAGGATGTAGGAGGTGTTGAAGATTTAACATAGTTACAAAATGAATATGTGTGTGTCGTGTGTGTTTTTTTCCCCAAAATCATTGGCTTCTAAAATTTTAACTGACCACATAATTGGATGAGATCCCAAACGTTTTCTTGGTAACAAATTGACCTACCAGTGTCCTTTGACCTGACAGGTCACAAATTGACCTACCACAGTGTACTTTGACTTGATAGGTCACAAATTGACCTACCAGTGTTCTTTGACTTGATAGGTCACATGTTGACCTACCAGTTTCCTTTGACCTGATAGGTCACAAATTGATCTACCACGGTGTCCTTTGACTTGATAGGTTACAAAATAACCTACCACAGTGTCTTTTGACCTGATAGGTCACAAGTTGACCTACCAGTTTCCTTTGACCTGATAGGTCACAATTGATCTACCACGGTGTCCTTTGACCTGATAGG